CAGCAGCAGTAGTAGTAGTAGTAGTATGAGTAATAGTAGTAGTAGTAGTAGTAGTAGTAGTAGTAGTAGTTTTTGTCACCCACTTGGCACGTAGTAGTAGTAGTAGTAGTAGTAGTAGTAGTAGTAGTAGTATGAGTAATAATAGATTTTACTGCTTCTAGTACTAGTACTAGTACCAGTACTAGTACCAGAAGTACTTTGTGTCGGGCCCCCTGCCAGGTCAAGAGACAGACGAAGCCAAAGGTGCCGAAGGCGCTCAAGCCCGAGGGACGCAGGTGCGATGCCAGAGCAAAGCAGCCCTTACCAATCCTTACCAGAGCCCAACCAAAACCCTACACTTGCGCCAAGCCTCTTTCGCAGGCACCATGAGGAGCGCCCTCGCGAGCGCCGCGACGACCGTCGGCGGAAGGACGTCGGTTTCCTTTGTGCGCTTCAGAGCTGAGGGTGTAATGGGTCGGACGATGCAGGACACCACGAGCAAGGAAGGAGATACCCAGCCGCCCAGGACGGGACGCGTATCTGTGGCAGGGATGAGCCGCAGTGGGAAGCCGTAAGCCCTTCAATGTGTGCAAGAGGGCTCTTTCTTCCAGACCACCAGCAGGAGGAGACGGGATGGGAAGAGGAATCCACGCGACAACGACTGGAAAAGAACAGGCATCGTTGCTGCGATGATTTGGACCATTCAGGATGATTGATGAAGTAGGATTGACTAGGCTGATTTGTGCTTGAAGAGCACGTGGTTCTCGCGGATCTAGCAGACTTTTTGAATCAATGTTCGGACCCTGGGCGCATCGTTGCAGGGTCACATGGGTCACGACATTCTGGATTGGTCACTGTTGTTCAATGTGCGTGGGGAACCCGCCCAAGATCACCCAAGCCTTCCACAGCCGCATCTGGAGCTGCAGGAGGAGGCGAGAGCCAGCAGCGTCGGGTGCGCTGACGTGCGGCAGTGTGTGTGGCCATGCTGCCAAAGGCCTAAGGTTGTCCACCGAAGTTTCTAACATATTTTTGACCTCTCACACGTGGATCTGGTGGTTTGAATCCCTTTGCTGGCCACAGGGCCACAGGGATGAAGACTAGAACCTATGACCTATGCCTAGTCTTTAGTGTAATGTATTAGTTGTCGAGGTTGTGCGGTGCTTCAACATTGAAGCTGGCCGTAACCAAATCTGCTGGCGTTGTAGTCGATCATCGCCCGCCAGGGAAAGTGCATTTGAACAGACTTCGCTTCGTAATCAATCGATTGTGGCCCTGGGCGCGAAACTGAAAGCAGGGTCAACGATAGTTTTGCGAGAAACATCGACTGAACTCCAGGCGTGGCCTCAGCTTCCTGAAAGAGGGTAATCAGGTGATGAACGGTCAGCATTAGGCAGTGCAGGTGGCCGCAAAATCCACGATGAATTGCATTGCTGCATCTGGCCAAAGGATGCACAGGCAGAACAATTGCAGGCAACCGCGAGTCACCGCGAGTCATTGCGTCAGGGCAGCTGGCCCTGCGCTGCACTGCATAAGGGCCGCATCGTTGTTGAAGATAACTTGCGTTTTCCTGCTATGAAGCTTCTGCATCGCACCGTGACGCACGAACACAGAACACAGGCAGCTGACTTTCACTTGGCTGGACAGGGGGTGAGATGTTCTACGGTTTGAATTCGAGGGCAGCAAGGTGAAAGTCCTTTGCCGTGCTTTTTCAGGATGGAAGCTGTGACTCGAGCCGCAGATCCAATGTATTTCGCAGAACGAAGCTATTCTGGAAAGCTGCTCGTGTCATGGCCCGAAATTGCTAAAAAATGGCCTAAGGCTCGTCCAAGCCCATGTGGCCGTTTGAAATCCCTGGGCAGACGGCCCTCAGCGTTTCTCCAAGAATCGTCCCCAGAGGTGTTCTCCTGGAGCTGCTAGACATGATTCCAAGTTCTGCTCAAAAGACCTTGTGCCAATAGCTGCTGTACTGTCACAAGTCACAAGTTCAGATCTACATCTACATTCCGCATGATCAAGGACCAAGAATCCCAGCCTGGACGAAGAAACGAGAAAGCGATATCTCTTTTCCGTTGAAGATTCAGACCCTAGCAAGATCTAGCGAGAACATGGCAAAACAAGTTGGAGCGGGGCTCACGCGAGACAATTCCACGCATCGAACGCGTGTGGGCTGTGAGTTTCGAGTTATGACTCTATGACAGATCCCTGCGCAGTTCAGCAAAGACGTCGGCTTGGCTGGGCCGTGGCTGACCCTGATCAACGCGCACGGCCCGGAAACGCGACCAGAGAGCCGTCCGGGTTTGTGAACGTCACTTCGAGGTTCTCCAGACTATGGGCATCAGTGGAGACCTCATCGACGGTATCCCAGTGCAGAACAAGCCGGGTCCCCGGTCCCGTGTTCTCCTTGCCTTCTGCGAGCTGGACCCATGGGCCTAGGTGGATCAATATCGTCCGTGACAACTTGGACGATTTCGGGAAGCAGGATCCTGAGCAAGGCACCGGAAGTTTTAATGGGGCAGCCATGGGATTGGACAATGCGCGGGGGTAATGATGTTTCGGCCAAAGTGCGCTCGCCGATAACGTTTGCCTCTAAGATGGCAGATATGGCTTGCATCTGAGTTACTGTCTGAGTCGTTGCCAGGGCAGCGCCAAGCTGGAGACTTGATGCAGAACATGATCATGGGCCGCATGGAGAGGACGCGCCAACAGTTTTACTTCGATGCTGCGCAACAATCCCAACAGTATCTTCGAAACCTCCTGTCTTCATCAGATGGCACGCTTCAGATCTCTCACGACCAGCGAAGTAAGTTCATGAGCTGACTCGTCGCGAAGACCCAGCCCCAAACCCGAGGCTTCATGCAAACCGCGATCGGGTGAACTCGCCGATGTCTGGGGAGGGAAAGAGTGTGCAGCTGTCGGGAAGAGTCCTTCCTAGCAAGGCGCAGATGACAAAGCAGTCTTCTGCATGAGCCTGTCTGAGATACTTGCGGTGTTTTCATGCAAAAAAAGACTGTTATGTGATATTTGTGCGTGTGAGAAAGCCTAAAGCTTTTCACTGCTTCGGTTCCTTTTCAATCTCTTCGCTACACCGGGTCGGGTGCGTGGTTCGGGGTACTTCTGCTCAATGCTGCTTGCCTTGAAGGATCACAGGTGCACCTATGCCGGTGTTTCTCGAAGGCTACGGCGAGAGCGAAGGCATTTACAAGATCGCCATTCCCCGAGTTCCTCCTTATCCGCAAGCCTGGTAATATGCGAATGCTGCAGTGCAAGTAATACAGACGCTCAGATGTGTGATAACCGTCGCCTTTTCCCAGGTGATTGGGCCACGGTCAGTGGTCGTCGTCTCTGATCCAGTGGTTGTCAAGCGCATCCTCACGAGCTCGCCGGACCGGGCTGGAGTTGAGCGGTTCAGATCTGTTGAAGAGACGCCTAGGAGCGGGCTGGAGACAAGTCGGTTCTCGTGTTTTCATCAAGCTTCCGTGTCGGAGCCTCTTAATCTCTGTGAGCTCAGCATGACCATTCATGATGGCTCGGCCGATATGCGCGTGCACCTCAGACCTTACGAGCTTTTGCAACCTTCCCAAAGTGCCGAAACACGCACACACACACAAGCCTAGAAGAGGCGGCAATAGCCTCAATAGCCCCTGGCCTTCTGTCACATGGCAAATCTTCCGAGCGCAGCAAGTGAAGAGGCGCCGGACACGCAGATCACTATTGATGATGATGGTTCTATGTGGGGCGAAGATGAATTTGGACATTACAGGATTGACAACCGCGTTTGGACCATGAATGAGATTCGGGATCACCCGCTCTTCATGACGGATGTGCCGTCGGATCCACGCGATCTTGACAACTATCCTCTCCTCACTGCCTTGCAGAGCGTCCTTTACGATGATCAAACTCCAGAGGAACTGGCAGAACATTTCCGGAAGCAAGGAAACGAGGCGATGAAGTTTCAAGCCTCGAGGATAGCTCTTCAGAATGCCTTGACCTTCTACACGAAAGGACTGGAGATGGAATGTAAGGATGACAAGCTGAATGCAGTGCTGCACGCCAACAGGGCTGCGGTGGGCCTCAAGCTGGGTGAGCACCTGAAAGTAGTGGACGACTGCCGTGCGGCCGTGCGCCTGGACCCAAAGAATCTGAAGGCCTGGAGCCGGGGTGCGAGGGCCTCCGAGGCTTTGGGCCTGGCAGAGCAGGGTCTCGCCTTCTGCCGGGGCGCACTGCGCTTGGAGGGCTCCGCATCGGAGGACAAAACGCTGCTCTCGGAGGTGAAACGCCTCCAGCGACAGCTTCAAGAACTCCATCGGAAGCAGCAGACGGCTCAAAGGGAGATGCGCATGGAGGATGCTCGCGTCAAGGATGCCATGCAGGCCAGTGCTTCCGCTGTCCGAAACGCACTGGAACTTCGTGGATCTCGCTTGGGCCCTGCACTCTTTGATCTAGCGATGTACCGCATGGCGAATGGCGGAATTACCCCTCATCCGAAGCTGGTAGATGGAGAGGATGACCCTGCAATCGAATGGCCCTTACTCCTGCTGTACGACGAGGTCAACCAATCTGATTTTGTTGCATCCTTCGACGAAAGATGTGCTTTGGAGGATCAGCTGCAGCTTATGTTTCCCGAAGATCGGCGTGTGGAGTGGGACGTTCATGGCAAGTACGTTTGGCCCAAACTTGCGGTTTACCTGGAGTATTATCCAGAGGGCAGTGACGAGACCTCGATGTTCAAAATTGACTGCGGCGCAGCAGTGAAGACACTTCTGACGGAGCGCTGCCTGCCACCCTGCCTGGTACTTCATGTCTTGGTCGAAGGCTCCCCGGCACAAGCCGCCTTTCTCAAAGACAACCAGGTAGAGTAGCGATTAAAAAGTGATTCGGGCATTGGGAGAGCGGGGGGTCGTCGGGTACAGGAGTTCGTGCCTTGAACAGCATGGCATGGAGTGCCTCACAGGAGCTTTACACCAAGGGTATCCTGACGGAAGTGCTCGAGCCCATCATGGGCTGTGGACTCAGCTTGACGGCCAAACAGCACTTAGCTACGTGACCTGCTAGCGCTTGGCACTGCTCGGGTAACAGGCCAAGGGCTGATTCCGGCTGATCCTGAAACCTGGAGGCCATGAAGCTTCCCTTCTGCAGTTGAAACTCAAACGCGGACCTTTGCAGGAAGCGCCGCCGGGCGATCGTCCCTGGCTTTCACAAGAAGTGGCTGACGGAACGGTGATGTGTGTTGGAAGAGTTCCTTCGAGTGTAGTACATGTGCAATTGCTGTGTTTATTCTAGTCATTGCAGTCTTCCGACCCGTGGTCCGTAGTCGTCACCGTTTCGACGAGACGTTTCATGTAGCAGCAGCACAACAAAATTTGCCTCATCAAGCAAGTTCTTTTTCTGGCGAGGAGGCCACTCGACAAATGGTGGAATGCGCCGCATCCCTGCCACGTTTGACAGTCCAGCCGGATGACAAAGGAGCAGACGCCGGATTTTGAGCATGTAAAACCGAAAGGTAGCAGCAGTGGCCATGACAAGTGCCAGGTGAACCTCGCTGATGACTTGGAGCGTTCCATTTCGATATCTTCTTCGCACGTGGCCGAGGCAACGGAGATCTGCACGAATTGTGCTGCGTACAAGCGCCGACATGGACTGGCCAGTACCAAACATGTGAAAGCTGTTCACAGCGGACGCAACAAACCGGTGAGTTGCACGGTCTGTGCGTTGGATGCCATCAGTCACTTCTTGGACCTGGTTCGTCGGTGGCGGCACAAGTTAGAGGCTCGGGCATGCCGGGGGTTTCTCCAGGTCAACATGGAGGAAAAGTTCACTTCTGCTTCGCTCGACATCATTGGCAAGGCACTGGAGAGCTGAGACTCCGAGAACTGCCAGGGGTCTCCTGCTCTCGTAACCGGAGAACCAGTGCAGCCAAATCACGAGTGAAGAGAATCGTCCTTGAACGGAGCAGGCCATCTTCAACTACGACTTTGGCTCCACAACGCACCGGCCCCCAATTTTTAGCACGACAGAAACTGAAGGGGTGTATCCACCCAGTACACGGTACAAGTTAAGATCGGATCTTTCCTGACTGTTCTCCCAAAGCGAACTGGAGGAGCTTTGAACGACTGACACCGGCTAGCATCACCAGCAGCTGTGTAGGAGTCGCATGCATCAAGGAGCTCGCTATCACTGTTTGCAAGACCACTGCTGTCAGCATCTAGGGCTAGGGCCTTAGGTGGCTCAGAGCTTCGGGAGTAAGGCACGAGTCACCGCTGATCCGCGCGGTCTACAACCTCCTCCGGGAGGCAGAGCGCCGCGCCCAGTCGGCGGGGAGCTCGGGCTCTGCAGGGAGGAGCGTGCCACGAGGGGAGGAGAGACGCAGACGATCAGTTTCCTTTCAGCATCCGTCTTTCAGGTTGTCCCGTACTGGAACCTGCCAGGGGCGGACGTTGGGGCCCCCAGAGCTGGTGTAGAGCTGGTGTAGTGTATGCCCTTGGGTGCTGCTTTGGCCTCCCTCTGAGCTCTCGCTTTGGCTCAGGCGATGTTCCGAGACCAAAAGGATCACAGCGAGAACTTGGTGGGCTGCTCGGTGCTTTTGTGGACGACGTATGATCAAAGAAACTTACCGGAAGTTGAGATAATTAGGGTCCCGTGCAAGGGTACTGAGCCTAGCTGTGATGCATGCGGTTGTTTCAGCACCTGCAGGCCTTGGTCAATGCTGTCCTGGATGAGCTCATCCGAAACGCCTTGGAGGCCCTGCACCACCATCGCGATGGGTGGGCTCACGCAATTACACAACCTCGTCAGGACCCTCCCAAAGAGGGGGACAAGCTGTCCTTCCTCCAGTTTCTGGTCATCACCAAGGGTGAGGATGTGACCACCAGGCCTGACAGTAGAACCGGTAGCGGTAGCAAGCACAATTGGGAGAATGGACAACGGACGACTCACGTGCATGGCGAGTGCATTTGACGATTCGCTCAGTCCGTCGGCTCAGAGGCACAGCGTCTCATGGCATGATCATGTGATTCATGTGCAAACCCTTCCTCACTTTTGGCAACTGCCTGTGGGATTTGCGCAACTTGGGCGCTGACATGAACCGTCAAAAAGTTCGGCGCATCCGAGAGGTGTCTTTGCAAGACGGGTTGAAGAAGTTGCAGTCTGAAGCCATCTCATCTCCTTTCTTTGGTGTTCTCCTACTCTGCACATCCAGTATCATGCTCGTGCAGTCTGCCAAGCCCCAAAAGGGATTTTCGAGCTTCGCGAGTTGTTCGCGAGAATCTAGATCTACAAGCACTCGAAGCCGTAAAATCGCCTGCGATCATGTGGGCGAAGAACCCGTTCATTCGAGTGGCACGGTGCTCAGCAGAGGCTACTGCCAGGTTTTGCAAGGCTTCTCGATTGTGAAACTCTGGAAAGCCCCTTCTGGCAGCGATGTCGGATTGAGTTGTGCATCTTCGAGGCTTCGACGGTGCCGGTGCTACTCATCCTTTTCATTTTTGGATTCGAGTGGCTCCATCCTCAGCAAGTACAGTACAGACGGCCTCCTGCAGCTTCATGCGGCTGTGCTTAATGCACCATGCTGCTCGGCTAGCCTGTGCTATGATGTGTTCGCAACTGTCTGCCGCCAGGTATGCCTTCAACTGTGTCTTTGTCCTGCGGGGGCAGCTGTCTCAGAATTTATAAGTCGAACGTGTCTGTTTGCAAATCTCCAGAGAAGCTTTTCAAATGACCCCAGATGTCGACGCACCTATCTCGTTTGTGGTTGTCTAGCTCTTCGACTGGACCTTGGCTGTAGCTTTCTCGATGACGTTGCGCATGTAGCAAGTTCCTTTTCGCGGTCACGTGGAACTCGCCAGCCTGTGTTGGCTGGTCTATGAGTATTTATGAGAGCATGAAAAGGCGGCGTTTGCGGGCGTTTGACCTGTCATGGTTCCCAGTGTTCTTGCTTTGGGGGCTGGACCTAGCTTGCA